AGTGGGGGTAGGAAGCGATTCATCCCTTCCATCGTCACCGGGAGCTCCTCATATCGGATGATTCAGTGGAAGCGGGGGAAATGATCGCCACTGCGGGGGAAGGAGGCGAGGTAGTTGCGATAGAAGGAGGAGAGGGTCCGGAAAAGCACCGCTCGAAAGATCTCGAAGTGGCGACAAGCGGGGATGGTCCCTGTGGCAACGTAGTAGACCTCTACCACATTGGATCGGTCCCATGCGGCGCTGAACAACAGGAGTTGCCAGCAGAACGTGGGAGCGGCAGACCGAAGGGAGGCGTGGGGGTGGACGATAGCGAGTAGACGGGTAGAGTAGAAGTCGCGGAAGAGATGGGGATGAAAAGGATGGGGAGGGAAGGTGACGGGGGTACGGATCTGCTCGAGGGTGAGGAAATAAGGGGTCGGCGGGACAGCGTCCGAGGACGGAGGCCTATCGCCCGCATCGGTACGTGGGCGAACTGGGGAACGGGTGGGGCTGGAGGAGGAGGGGGATCGGCGCCGTCTCCGTCGCGCGGTACTTGAGGTGGCGGCTGCAGGGTCGCCATCTTCGGGCTTCGTCGTCTCTGGACCCCGGGTCGGATCGTTACCAAGGCGCAGTCTAGCTTCGCTGGCGAACTCCAGCTGGCGCTTTCCGGAGGCAATTTCTTCGCGCTTTCGCTCCGCTTGCTGATCTTCCGCCTCCATTCCCGTACACGTCGCTTCCTCCGGCGGGGCTTCCCGCTCGGATCCGGCTTCTTCTTCTTCCTCTTCCTCCTCACTCAGCTCGCCCTCGCTATGTTCACTATAGCTTCCCTCCTCCGATGTTTCCTCGTCGTCGCCTTCTTCTTCATCGTCGTCGTCGATCACCACTTCTTCTACCCTCGGGTAGAAGGCGTAAGGGATCTCATACGGCTTCAGATACTCCTGTCGCGATGGTAGTGTATCCTCGTCCCTAGGTTCCTCCAAGCACGAGGTCCACTGCAGGTACGGATCCAAGGATCACTCGAAAATGTACGGAGCAGGACTGCTGTCACTCTGAAAGTAGATGTCGGGCGAGAGATCGTCCGCCAATTGCACAATCGGTGCGATGAGCTCTTGTGCAATGAACTGACGGCGACCCGGTTGTACCGATCCAAAGAGGAATCCAATAAGATCTCCTTCTGCGTTGGTCCTCCAACCCTGTATGATTAGCAGCTCTGGACTCTCGGTCCACGTTGGGTGCTCGATAGTGCCCGTCCACTTCACTTGTACTCGGGCCAAGCAGAAGGACAGCTCCTCAAAAGTTCCGCGCCACAGCCGCCAATGTCCAGGGTTGATAAAAGGGACCGAAAGAGGCTCGAACAAGAAGGAGAGAGAAGGGTGAAGATCGGATTGCCAGAAGGTGGGGAAGAAAGAGGGGAGGCCAAAGATAGAGAGAGGGGCGAGAAAGTTGGCGTGGTTCATTGGAGATGGGGGAAGGGGACAAGGGTTGGGATCGCAACTCGCCGCTCGCGCGGTGATCGGCGAATGCCGTCAAGATCTGATGCGGAGATGGGAATGATAATATATCCTTCCCGAGCGAGGACGTGCTGCCATACGTTGGGGACTTGCTCCGTCCACTCGCGCAGCGAAGCCAAGATCGCGGTATGCCACAGCGGATTGACCGAGCTGATGTCGCCGGTGAATCCCGCCACTGTGGTGACGTGGCTCGTTCTGAGACCAGCTCGCCGATGAGCAGCAGTAACCTCCGCGAACACTATCGCGCGAGGGCTTCCTTCTATCGAAAACGCGGCGGCGGCACAAATACCTTCGCCACAGAAGAATCGCATCAAACGACGAAGATCTGTGTTGAACCGAGGGTGACAAACTTACCGAATCTCTGAGATATGGCCTCGTGGCTGCCGCAGCTGTAAGTCAAGAACCCGCTCCGTGATAAAACTCATGGCGAGATCGGAGAGGAGGACGAGGGACAAGAGCGAGAGAGTGGAGAGAGGGCTAAATCGTCGTCGTTTTCCTCGCTTTCCGAGAAAGAAGAGGGAGGAAGATCGGAAGGAGGAAGGAGACGGAGGTAGGAGGTATGTATGACGATGGGGACGAAGCTATTGTTGGCGCTTGCTTTAGGCGCGATGCGCACCGTGTTAGCGCCGTTGGGTCCGAGTTCGACAACGCGGAAACAGCCAGAGAACTTGGGAGTGAGTTTCCGGTCGCGTGCACATTTACGTGCCTGCACTAGGTCCCCCAATTTATACTGGTACTGGGGCCCAGCATTTCCGTTCCGGGCCTCGTAGCTACGGACTTGTCTACCGTGGGCCAGCCCGGTCATCCTTTGTCTTTTTCGGGCTAGCTTTGAAACGGCCCGTTCCATCAAATCGATGTACCTTTTGGCCTTGGCCTTGAGGGCTGCACGCGTGTCTCTACCCCCTGCTTTGGCAATTTCCGAGTTACCCCGGTAATCGACACAGGGGAGGCTATTAGTTCGAAGCTGAAAGGGGGTGAACCCCGTGGACTCATGAGGAGTGGCCTAGTGGATACAGACGATCTGATATACGATCTCGGGCCAAGGACGAGTGTCGCGTGCTGCTAAGTTCCTGCGAAGGGCGGTTTTAATCATACGGTTGTCATTCTTGGCCAACCCGTTCGACTGCGACACGTGGGGTGCCGTATGTCGGAGCGTGACGCCCCTTCGCGCAAGTAGTTCTTCTACCTCACCTCTAAATTCAGATCCATTGACGGTTAGAATTTCTTCCGTATCTAGATGGGTATAGAGAAACCGTTCGATGTACATGGCTATTTCTGCTGCTTTTCGGGTCTTACAGGGATAGACTTCGATATACTTGGAAAAATTGTCAATTAATACCAACAAAATAGAATATTCACAGCGGTTTGGGCCAGGGGGCACGTCAATATCTGTCGTGTCCATACTGACTTGCTGAAAAGGGCGCTCTACTTATGTTGGTACGATCGTGTTTGGTCCCCGTATAGGGGCGCGATCAGCGGCACAGACCAGACAATTAGCGGCAATGTACTTGACATCATCTCGTATATTGGACTTGGTTCTGGTCTACAGTTGCCTCCGTGACACGTATCGCGAAATGAGCAGCTTGTTCCTCGTGAGCAGATCGGATCCAATCGTATCTTTGGAAGGGATGGGGAACTGTCAGCCACAAACCCGATCCGTCAGTTTTACGTTTTTCCAAATGACCGTTAATCCATCGATTGTCCCGAGATCTCTCGGTCGCCCAACGTCTGTCGTGTTTGGTGAGGTGGCCCAATGATAATCCAGTTAATTTCGCCAATAAAATTTTATCCGTCCAGACTTCCGCTCGTTGGTAATTCTCGTCGTATTCTAGACCGTCCGTACGAGCGGCCTCGAATCGAACCTCCGTGGGGAGTTTATTCGTTCTACACAGGGGACACCTCCATTCCTTGCTACTCGTCCGATATCGTACGCAGGCCCCGTGCGCACGATTGACACATGTGGCACATTCTACCCAATCGACAAACCTTGTTTCGAAGGGATGACAATCGACCCCATAAACCCGTGCGATGCACGTGCAAAAATAACAGAATTTATCGGGGAGGGTGGCAAAGAAGGCCGAGGAAGTAAGAGGGGCAGAATTAGTAGGAGAAGAAGGGGTTGTAGAGGCAGGCGGGGTAGTCATGGTTACAGAAGGGGAGAGGCGGGACTGAATTGTGCAGAGAGTAGAGCAGGCAAATTGGTCCTCGGATCACTTACTGCTTCGACAAAATCTCCACTTGGCCGTACCGAGGTCCAATCTTCTGCTCGGGCTCGTTCCACGGAATCACCTCCTCATTCCTCGGAACTTTCTCAGGCCGGTGCAATCGTGTCAATCCGTCCGCATTCCCGTGTCTCTCGTGCTTCCGATGATGGATGTCAAAGTCCATGCTCTGCAATACCGTTGCCCATCGCCCAATCATGCCCGAGTAGTCCTTCGACTTCTTCAGAGCCAACAGGGGCTCATGATCAGTCACCAGGGTGAACTTTCGCCCATACAGGTAAGCACGAAAGTGACTGATTCCCCAGAGAGCCGCATAGCATGATCCCGTCGGAGCAGCGTAGTTTTGTTTGCAGGCGGGTACTGATTTGGACGCATACTCCACCACATTCTCGAGTCCGCTTGGTCCCACCTGGGCAAGGATCGCCGAGATCGCCTCTGGTTGCCTGTCGGTGATGAGAACAAAAGGTTTTTCGGGATCCGGTATTATAAGGACCGGAGCCGAAATGAGAGCAGCCTTGAGTTTGGAAAACGCTTGATCGCACTCCGGTGTCCAAATCAACGGATGATCCTTGCGCAGGAGATTTGTGAGGGGTCCCGCAATTGCCGCGAAGCCCTTGATAAATCTTCGGTAATACGAGGCTAGGCCCAGAAAGGCGCGAACTTGCGTGATAGTGGTAGGCACTGGTGCGTCCCTGACAGCTGCCACTTTCAGCGACTCCGGTTGGAGTCCCTTGTCTGTCACCACGTGCCCCAGGAAAGAAATGGTGGTGAGGAAAAACTGACACTTCTCGAGCGCCACCTTGAAACCTGCATCTCGTAACGCATCCAGTGCCTATTCGATGTGCTGCACGTGTCCTTCATAGGAACTTGAATACACTAGGATGTTATCCATGTACACAATCACACAGTAGTTGATGATACTTTGTGCCAAACGAGTCTTCCGTACGAAATTCTAAAACGCCATGTTCATGGCCCGCTGAAAAGTTACAGGGGCATTGAAGATGTCCATCGGACATCGAATCCATTGCCACGTGCCTTCGAAAAGCACAAACGCTGTCTTCGGTCGATCTTCCTCTCGGACAAGAAGATGATGGAACCCGTGACGAACATCAAACTTGCTGAAAAATTGAGCATCCCCAATCGCATCCAATAATTCATCAATCCGGGGCATCTTTAATCGTGATATCATTCAGCTTTCGATAATCAATGCAAATGCGAATCCCCCCAGCCTTCTTGGGTACTATCACTACAGAGACCATGGTCCTACAGCGGGTTCGATCCATCCATTAGCTTCGAAATCCTTAATCCGCTGAAAGGCGGCTGCTCGTTGAGCTGGCGAGTATCGATAGGGAACGCAGCTAATGGGCGGATGATCTCCCGTGAGAATGGCATGCTCAATTACATTAGTTAAACCGATATCATTGTCATGCATGCTCAGTACTTCTGCGTAACCATTCAATACACAGACTAATGACTTCCGAAGTTCTGCGGGAACGTGACTCGGAAGAGGGATCGTTGATTCCTCAGACATCTTAAGGGGCATATCGATCCAATCAACCAGCCGTTCCCGCCGCTCATGGACACTAGAGAAAACGGAACTACTGGTGCGAACAGAAAAGACAGTTGCTATCATCTAGGACTCAGCGGGACTGATCATCTCCGTTTCTTTAGTTTCAGCGTCAGTCTCTGAACCAACCGAAGTCGGTTCCACAGTTAGTCCTGTCAGATCCGTCATTTCTTGCATTAGATTTGGCACATCATTTACCGGTGCTTCCGCTTCTCGTTTAATCAAGGCGATGGTGGCTCCTGTCATTAGTAATGGTCGGGGTGGAAAAACAGAAACGTCCAAATATTGTTCCGTTTGCTGATAACGCGTTCGCAAGGAAAGGGGCCCCTCGTATACGATGTGAGGGGGTTCCAAATTATCAGCCAGATCGAAAACTTGTAATATAGGTTCCCCGAGGAGGGAGGGCTGAAGGACTGACCTGTGTTGTTAGGGTTGTGAATGTACTGTCTTCTGAATCCACGTGGAAGCTTCGAGCGGTGTCGGGGCACACTCGAAATTCTTCGAGGGTTTCATGTTCGAAAAGTTCAACCAGATGCTTCCATTCCTCTTCACTGGGCATCTCTTCTTCGTATTCTCGTTCCCTGATTCCATCCCCGAGACACAAGGGGGAGCACTTCCGGGATCAATGCCTCGGATCATCCCTATTTGGGACGAGTTAGAAACCAGTTTTATCGTTCGGGTGGAAACCCGCAAGGGAACAGTCTTAGGCTTTCCCCCAGTCTGTGTGAGCACCAATTGTTTCGAATTGAAATGCAGATGTGCGCCGACCGCCATTGCCCAAGGTAATCCCAACAACACAGAGTAGGAACGCACATCTATTACGAGCGCGTTAACAAGGACGTGTACTCGCCCGACCTTTACAGCCACGTTCTCGATAATGCCTACAATGCTCATTGCTTCCTCGTTGGCAAAGACATAGTTGTCTTTGCCAGATTGAGGAAGAATGGATCCAAGTCGCCCTGTCTTTTTAACAGTCTCCAAGGATATGGCCACTGCAGAAGACCCTGTGTCGATTAGGGCATTAAACGGCTTTCCCCAAACTTCACAGTCACATTCCGCACTTTTCCATAGTACTGGCCGAGCTCGTACGAAGTGATCTTTTTCTGCTAAAGAGATGGCGGCTATGCGTGCGGCTTCGGATTTTTTTATGTCCAGCTCAGGGGATACCACTTCCTCAACTTCTTCCTTTTTCTTCAAAATCCGTTGTATGTGTTGATAGGTGAAACGCTTTCGATTTTTCTGGCAGTGTTGCAAAAGTTTATCATTCGCCGCTTCAGATATGGTGAGCAGATGCCCTACGGGGATAGGAACGCAGATGTCTAACTGCTTGAGCGCTTTCAGTACATCAATGTCGCCTGTTCGAAACTGCGGTCCTAGATTAGATTCACGATCGACCCATTCGAGATCATCTGGGACTGATCAGATTGCTCCGATCATGCCTGCGAGATGGAGATACTCGAGACGATTGACCACGTCAGCAGCGTCGGGGGAAGAAGCTCCCGATGTCGATGCCGTTGCCATCGAAGGGGAGGGCTGCTCTGTGGCACACGCCACAAGTTCTCTTCCTTGTTCCGTATCCATCAAAGCAGCCACTCGTCCTTGGTTAAGGGCAACGGGGGCCGCAGCAGGGGGAGGCTGATTACGTTTCGGCTGCGGACAGTCACGGGCGAAATGCCCGGGCTGTTTGCAGTTAAAGCATTCGATCCTCCCTGCTGGATTAGCTAGATGAGGGAACTGAGGCGCGAACCCTGGAGCAGGCGGAGCTGGTAAGAGCGAAAATGATGCAGGGGCAATCCGAGCAGGAGCTGGGTTAGGCTTAATGAGCCTACTCATTATCTGTTCCATCCGTTCCATATGAGCGGCCTGTATTTGGATCAAGTTGCTCATCCATTAGGCCGCTTGGTAGTAGCCGTATGGATCATCTGGGCAAGGTGTAGATTGGTTACGACCGACGAGGGGGGTTCAGATGAAGTTCCGCTTCTAACGGCTGCGATTGAGTGATTCACCGGGGGAAAGGGAGGAGAAGCAATTGGGATATCGGAAACGATTCCGTCGGGAAGGTCATGATCAGGGCGGGGGTAAAACCGTTCAACCGCCTGTAGCCATGATCGCCTTTTTGCCGTTACATCCCGTATGGTATCTGTAATATCCTCGTTTCCCGGGCTGATATATTTCTTTGTATCAGCCAAGTCTAATTCCAACGCCTTGGTGATGATAGCCGATAACTGGGTTGTTTTCGGCCGAACCTTTTTCTATAGTTTCCCTTTTAAGGTCGGATTTCGAAGGTGATCAATAAACAAATCTCGAGCGGAAGTCTCGTCTCGCCCGGATTTATCCAATGTGGTTTGAAACCGATCAACGAAATCGGGTAACAGTTCCCCTGGTCCTTGGGGTCGATTTTTGAGTACATACCAGGCGGCATCTTCACTAACTGTGTCAAATCGGGTCAAGAAAGCTTGCTTGAAAGTTTCCCAATCTACCCACGTATGTTTTCTAAACCAGTCATGCGACGTATTACGAAGTAACAATGTCAGAACTCGGGGAAAATCGGTGGCACTGTAATTTTGAGCTTCAACAGCTTCCAGCCAAGCCTTGGGATGGGTATGGTTAGGGAAGAAGGGAAAGAGGGCAGGGATGCTAACGATCACCCTAGTACCGTCCACTAGTGGTATTGCTAGTGCGGCCGCGCTAGACTAAGACCTGGTTACTGGGCGATCTCGACGAGCTAGTTGAGGGTCTCTCCTACCTCTCGCCAGTTCGACTTACTATCATCAGAACCGACACGTGTCGGCTCCGATACCAACCTCACGCCCTGTGCTGTCTTTCGTTCGGAGTGTTAGCTATGCGGAAAAGAGGCCCAGAAAAACAGCAAGATGGGGTGTGCCAAGGATTTTTGAAAATTGAGTGTGGGGACACAAACGGAACTGAAATCCCCTGTGTTGGTCCGACGAAGTAAGTCGATCGTTTTTCACGCGTCGTGGAACGCGCGCGAACAGGCGGGAGGAGGGAAAAATCCGAATTCAATCCAAAAAATATTGTCGCGCTTCCAACCGGGCTACGGCCCGTCGTTTAGAACGGAAAGGCTTTGGCACGCTTCGCGTGTCTCGTTTCCGTATCAAATCTCGTCGTCGCTCGTCGGGTAGCTCCGAGTCGGACGTGGATGGTCTCAGCCGCGTGGCTCTTTCCTTGTGCTCGTCTTCACTCCGTATCCGATAGTGAAAGCCTTTCGATTCGTAGCGATCGAAATGTTGGCACTCAGTGCACAGGGTTCGAGGCCAGTGAGGCGCCACTGTCGTCCACGGAATGACGATCAACTCGTTAAAGGGGAGCAATATCGAGTAGGGTGGGAAGTGTGTATCGATAATGACAAAGCCCGCATCTACGAATCCAGAGCAACGATCTTCGGGAGAGAAATAATACTGTCCGCCGATTTGTGCGATAGCTTCTTGTACGTCCCACTCGCATACACGTGTCATTTCCTTACTGTAAGGAAAAGGCCGCGTTGGGATGGGAGATACGGGAGGCTGGCGCCCAATCGAAGGGTACTTGTCAGCCCACATGTCAATCGATTACAACATATCCTGAGACGTCATTAAAAACAAAAGCGACTCGCGCGTCCCCCAATCAATCTTTTTGACACAAGAGAGAGAGAGAGAGAGAGAGCAAACACAGATCAGCTTCATCATGCATATGGCTACGGGTCCGATTAGTCCAACATAACGTTGGTCCCTGGGCGCCTTGTTTCTCAGGGCCGCCTCGTGGCTCGGCTGTTGATGTCGTGAGGTCATAAGGCAGATGGCCTGTGTATTGCAAACAGGGCTACAGATCTAAACACTCTTGCATTCTCGAACAAAATCCCGACGACATTCGTCCATTTAACAAAGGAATCGCACATTCCATACATGCATTCACCGTGGAAGGTGTGAAAATGAGACATGCTCACGTCACATAGTACACACGCATCCATCGTTCACAAGACAAGAGGACAAGGTCCTTGCATAGGAGGATGACCCAGGAAACTAATGGATGAGTTCCGGAAGAAGTTCTTTTACGCAAGGGAAACGCACCGATTTGCTCCTACTCACGAGAGAACGCGAGAGACAATCAATCGAGATACATCATTATTCAAAAGTAGAGAAAAGAGAGAGAGGAGAGAGAGGAGAGAGAGGAGAGAGAAGAGAGAGAGAGAGTGAGTCGAGATAGGTGATGACCAGATCTGAGACATTCGACATGACCACCATGCACTCATGCTAAAGATAAAGATTCGTAACAACAAAGGCGCATTCGACGTTAACTCCAATATGGCCCCGGGCCAATCACTCACTCAACTCCGATCATCTATCCTCATACCCGCACCGACGATCCCGGTCGCCGCGTGCTAACTCCCACCGTTGCGATCGTCACCCCGTTGTCGTAAACTCGACGCGGTTCGCCCAAATCCCACAGTACGTCGTGGCGATCCAGCGCGCAACCGAATAGCCTACCGTCAGCCCGACAGGACTTTCCGACTCACATCAACACACTCTGCCTAACCACTACTTCCCGGAAGCTAGCTTAGGAATCGAGAACGTAAGAGAGATTTGCGGACGCGCTTGCGGGTTTTATAGTTGCGACAGGGGAGATAGAAGGGGGAGAAGGCGACAAGAAAGCTGGTGTGTAAGAGGAGAAGCAGGAGGAGAAGACTTTGACAAGAGTGTTCTGCGAACGCCATGCTGATCCCTCGGTACTTAAGGTTCAACCAATCAGATTCGCCGCGCGATAGGAAGGTCCTATCGATCCACGCACCTGATTGGCGAGCGGGAGTTATCGGGGGATCGACCGGGCGCCGTATGCCAGAGTCAGAGGGTGTGAAGAGAAAAGGCGCGAGAGGTGGCGCAAGACGGGTCCAAGATTTAGATGATCAAGAAAGGGAAATGGGCACGCAAAAGCCAGGCGGGAGAGAGGGAGAGAGAGATGGAAGGAAAACAGTTACGGGGAGAGAGAGAAAGGAGGGAGAAGGAAAAGGAGGCGCGGGAGGGGGCGATGCAGGGGACAAAAAGGAGGAAGCTTTTGCATGCACGGCGCCATCAACAAAAAAAGAAAAAGACACCGAAAACAGTTGCAGCTGGCTCCTATCCTAATTCAAAATTGAAATCACCATATCCGCGCGCGAAAAGGCGACGCGGGAAAAGAAAATCCTACGCTTATTCGTATTCACGCAAAATTCCGAGAATTTCCCCGACGCGCCTAAGAACACTCATACATCAAGAAGGACACGTCGAAGTTCCGCTTATCCCGGAATTCGCAACCGCTGAGCCCAATTCCCAGTGTGCTCGCTAAGGCGCACGTAAATTCCCATGTATTTCCCGACTTTGCAAAAAGAAAAAGCAGAACTCAGTGGTCGAAAAAGCTCTTAAGAAAAAGGAAAATGCGGCACCCGAAAGTAAGAAATAAAAAACGGGGCTTTCCTGGGGTTGGTATGATCAGAAGAAAAGGGTACGAAAGATGGCACAGGGTCAGGAAGTGGGTCGTCACACCCCCCCGTCCACTTCTCGATATATGATACTGGCTGTGGAAGGCCCTGAGGAATCGTCCTCGGGGAACAATTCCGAGGATGAGTGGAACGATGGCGCAAATTTCCTCGGGCGACGAAGGGAGAATTTCCTCGGGCCTCAAGGACTGCCCGAGGAGTGTCGAACGAGCCCCTATGTCCCGCAGATGGTGTTTGTGGGATACACTTCATCTTACTCGTGTGCGAGTGGAACCATGCCCCTGGAGGTCCCTGCAATTGCGTATTTCTTTTAGACCTGTTTCTTTCTGGAAACAAAAAAAATGAATTCGACGTTTTTTTTTCTTTTTTCTTTTTTTGTTTTGTTTTTACCATTTCTCGATTTATGCTCGCCATCCTTGCGAATGGGCCATGCTAATCTTTTCTGTATGGTTCCAATTTTAACGGATGTCCGGACAGAACTCAACATTTGGTGGGCAGCTCTCGTAAGAAAAGGGGGAAAAAAACAGGAAAAAGGGATGGATTTTTATGCATAGTGCTGTGTGACCCCTTGGCCGGTATAATAGCATTCCTAGAGCAGGTCGAGACTGTGTCCTTTCTGTTTTGTGACGTATACGGGTGTGCTGTTTGACTGGGAAGTGCTGTATAATCGCCAATTGGCTCACACATGATTTGCGATTGTACGTGCTAGTGTGAGTATGCCTTTATAGCGGGTCGCCGCACTACTCACCAAATGTGCAAAATGAGGATGAATTTGCCGCAAAAACATGGAAAGATTCGCAGCCACAACTTTTGTATGTTGTACATTTGGAGAGTGGTGCGGGGAGGCCTATACAGTCAGCTCAAGAGAGGTGTTCATCTGAAAAATAAATGAGCACATAAGCAAATGACTAGATATATAACAAAACTAAAATAAATAAGCACATACGCAAATGACTAGAAAGAACAAAACACAGGTCAGTTGAGGCGCTGATTTGCCGTGGGAGTCGGAGGAGCATGAAGAGGATTGAGCTAACCAAGTTCTGTTGGAGGTCTTCTGGTTGGAAATGTTTTTGCTAGAATTGAAGAACGAAGATCCTCTCGAGAGGAGCGCAGTGAAGATGGGAGACTTTGGCATGCATCGTTTGAGGCCTTTCAGGGCTAAGTGTGGTTTTAGGGCTATTTCCGAAATTGCCTGTTTCTTCGACTTAAGAGTTCTTGAGTTGGAGTACTTTGATTTCTCCTGTGTTCAGATTATTCCCTTTCTCTTTTTGTTATTCCTTATTCAGCTTATGTTCGCAGCCAGGAGGCTGCGCTATACCCGGTTGCATTTTTTGCAGAAGCAGATTTCCCGATCGGGAAATGTCTTTTTTTTTTTTTTTTTTTTTTTTT